CTTTAACTGGAGCCTCTCGGCTCTCCTTAACCAGGCCTTCATTTGACGGGGGAAAGCTGTGTGGTTCAAATAGCTCCTTGGAAGATGTATGAATTGTTTGCCCACCTTTTTCCGGATTCATGACCTTCCCAGAAGTGCTCGTTCAGGGTTTGGCCGTGACAAGCACCACAAACGCTAAGGGCCCCTTCTTGAATCATCACTCTTGGGCCGGTGTCGTTCTTTTGACAGTTTCTCGGGTGTATCAAAGTCAGAAACCGTGATGGTTTTCCTGAATCTCTTCCCTTCTTAGTTTGAATTCATTGGCGGCAAATGGTTTACCATCATCAAAGTTACCCACCCACCCACCCACCCACCCATCCACCCCCCCCACCCCCGGGCCTTTCCGAAGCTGGCGTTGGGCGGATGAGTCACCGCGAGACCAACACATGTGCACCTTACTGTGGTGGCAGATGTGAAAGCTTCACAAGCAGCTCGTGCTCCATGGGACGATTCGAAGCGGACCTAATGCGCTTGAGTGATTTCATGTTGCCTTTGTTGAATGACGGGCCTGGATCTCCTGCAAGCAGAACTTCGGCTGGGTCCACGATCAGTTGACGTCCGAGTCAACCAATGCGAAACCATCCCCAGAATGAATCTAGGGCTTGAGTCCCAGTTCTGTTCAACCATCGACCTTTCCAAAGAGCCCTTTCTGATGGGAGCGTTGTGGTTTCTGGGAAGAAGATCAAAGAAGGATTCCCGACTAGACTGGCGGGCGATACCCCCACAAACATGGGCAGCTTGCTTTTGGTTTCCCTTTCAAACCAACAGACTAAAACGATTGTAGTTATTGTGGGTGAGAGGTATCCTTCTTGAAATTCATAGAAACTAGTTACAGGAGTTTGCCAAACAGATTGCCTTGTAGACATCTGTGGACATCAGCGAAACACCCGCAAAAGTCAGCTGGTTTCGTAGAGAAATTCTGTCGAGGTGAGCGGACTCGGCAGATGGAGTTGGAAGCCGCGCGCGGCCCAGCCTTTTTTCGCAGCCCTCGTGCGATCGGTTTCAATGGGGCGGCGTTTGCTTTTCAATGCACCCCCCATGAATCAGGGGGCATTTCAAAAGGGGCCTTAAAAGTGTTGGTGCCCTTTGAGTTGGGTTACCCCCTTTTCGGCTCGAAGGCCAGTCCTCGGTTTGCTTGTGTGGCGTGGATTTCAAAGACGGGGCCTGATTCTCAAAGGGAGATTCCCCTCTAAGGGCGAGTTCAGGTTCCAACTTTATCTGCAAGAGTGCATCTACATCCCCACGCCCTAATAAATTAAATTCATGTAGAGGCTGCAACGGTAAATAGAAAACAATGTAATTATCGCAAAGGTGGACCGGTTTGGCCGCATGAAATCCCACTCGGTGGGCATGCGACTGAGCAAGCAGCTATGTGAAGACCGCTGGTTTTGGTGGTTATCGGTATGTGGCTAGCTTGCTGTAGAACTTCCTGTGGCATGTTTCTATGGTAGTACGGTGGATTCCCTGAATTTGCTTCCCTGAGCCGTTGGGCTCACGGTACTTCATCTTTTGCTGGTTTTGAACGCCGCCTCGTTGGCGCATCGGTGGGTTTCCCTTGCTTAGTGATGGCTTCAGGAGAAATACGGGGCTGTGTATTTTGAGGCTATTTTTGGGGCTGTTTTGGAGGGAAGCCAAGTCCAAGTCTCCATTTTAACACATGCCCACACAGGGAGCTCCCCTGCTTTAGATGGATTAAGCCACCAATCGATGCCGGTCTAAACGGTGGCAACCCCTATTTCGCCGCGCAAACTCGATGTAACGGAGCCAGCGGCAGGCCAACGGAGGCATTTGCAAGCAGGAGACGTCCATTGAGAAGACCAAGCCGCGGCCCCGGGAGGGCGGAGGTCGAGCCCTGGAAGCGTTTTGGTTTCAGTGTTGGCTGTGGGAAGATCAGGGGGATGGGTCTGGACCCCCACTCCCCTCCAGAAAAAGGTAGGGGGATCAAGGCAACCAAGGCAATCCACCAGGTTTTTCTTGAGAGCCAAAGGTTGTGTGCATGCGATGTTCCAACCCCGGTTGGGAAAGGGGAAGTTGGGAGCGCATGCCTGAGGTGTTCCTGGGTCGGCTGCAAGGATGAGAAGGCCGAGAAGGTCGACAAGGCTGAGAAGGACGAGAAGGTCGAGAAGGACGAGACAAGCTCCGAGATCCCGGCACTGGCCTCAGACTGGTGGGTCGGAGAGCAGGTTGACATGGATCCCAAAAGGCTGGTGGCGGAATCGCCGGTTTGGACATCCTTGTTGGGTGCCCGGGCGGGAGGGGGAATGTCCACAATGTCCATTTTGTCAACCAATCCGCATGTACCAGGTATGTCTAGCTTCCAGCTGTGAGTGGCTGGACAGGAACTCACAATTGCGAGCTAACCTTTGGCAGCAAAGCAAGTGACAAGAACCATAGGCCATGTCCAAGAGAAGGCGTGCTCTGATGATAGTAATGTGTGTTTCGTTGTGTTCCCGACTTGGAT